GGGCTGGGGGCCGGGATTCCTGGGTCTGAGGGAGGAGGGGGCTGGGGTCTGGACTCCTGGGTCTGAGGGAGGAGGGGCCGGGGGTCCTGACTCCTGGGTCTGAGGGAGGAGGGTCTGGGGGCCTGGGCTCCTGGGTCTGAGGGAGGAGGGGCTGGGGTTCTGGGCTCCTGGGTCTGAGGGAGGAGGGCCTGGGGTTCTGGGCTCCTGGGTCTGAGGGAGGAGGGTCTGGGGGCCTGGACTCCTGGGTCTGAGGGAGGAGGGGGCTGGGGGTCTGGACTCCTGGGTCTGAGGGAGGAGGGCCTGGGGTTCTGGGCTCCTGAGTCCAGGGGAAGCAGGAAGAGTAGGCGCCCAAATGTCTGATTAGCAACAGGGAAGGAAACCCAAAAGTTGAGGGTTGTTATGTGGAACAGAGAAAGGATCAGAGTAGAGGAAGCAATTGCTTTCAGGGGGGAGGTTCATCGGTTGGAGATTTTGACACCAAGGTCTCCCTTCCCACCCTGTGCCAGCTCACTGGGGAATTCCAGCAGCTGGCCTGGAGGAAGGGAGAGGGGAAGGCAAGTGACAGGAGGAGGCAGGTCACCACAGCCCCATACCCAGCAGCTTAAGGACAGAAACTGCACCCAGAAAGGAGTCTGACCTGTGGGCCTGGCTTCTGGGGCCTCAGAGGAGATAAGAGCTAGGAGGCTGGACCCCAGGGGCTAGAAACCAATGCAGGAATTCTAGAAGCGACTGGGACTGCTGGGTCCCCAAGGGAAGAAGGGTAGAGAGAGCTAGAGGCTCAGCATCTGGGTCCTGGTAAGGACAAGGGCTGGGGTCTCGGACTTTGAACTTATAAAGCTGAAGGAAGGAAGTTGGGGGCCCCTTGAAGCTAACTAAGGTGCTGCCTGCTAGGTTCTGAGTGGGGAAGTGGCGGTTTGGGGGTGAGGTCCCGAAGAAAGTGGCGGGTCAGAGGGTCAGACGGCCCGACTGCTCTGCAGCTTGGACTTTGGCTCTGCCACGACACCGCCCAAGCCCTACCCCACGTCCCCCCTCCTTTTCCAACCTCTCCCACAGCCCCAGGCCCAGGACTGGGAGAGCGGGAGGGAGAAAATTCGGACAGGTGAGCACTCCGGGGAAGCCCAGAGGCTGGCAGTGGAGGGCTGGCTGGGAGAGGCTCAGAAGCTGGGTTGAGGGAGGCCAGCTTGGAAAAACTGGGAGGTCGGGATGGAAAGGCAGCTGTTACAAGAGGGAAAGTGCCCCAGGCTGAGAGCTGGCCTCCTCACACCAGACCCTCACCCATTGTTTCTGCCCTGGGAGCCAATGTGGGTGTGGGCCTCAGAGCCTGAGGGGCTCAGAGCCCGGAGGCCACCTTCTGATGCAGCTGGACCCTTAGGGCAGGTTCCTCACCTGAGAGAGAGAGAGAGAGAGAGAGAGAGAGAGAGAGGGAGAGAGAAAGGTTCCTGGTCCCTCTTCTTCCCCTGCAGAGCCCGGCATGTGGGGTTACCTGTCCCTGCTGCCTGCCTTCCTGGCCCTTTGGGCTACTGCTGGAGTCTGGACCGTGTGAGTGTTAGAGGCGGGAGACCCCTGGGAGGGGCTGGGGGTCTGGACTCCCGGGTCTGAGGGAGGAGGGGCTGGGGGCCTGGACTCCCGGGTCTGAGGGAGGAGGGGCTGGGGCCTGGACTCCCGTGTGTGAGGGAGGAGGGGCTGGGGCCTGGACTCCCGGGTCTGAGGGAGGAGGGGACTGGGGGCCTGGACTCCTGGGTCTGAGGGAGGAGGGGCTGGGGGCCTGGACTCCCGGGTCTGAGGGAGCAGGGGGCTGGGGGCCGGGGCTCCAAGGTCTGAAGGGGAGGGAGTTAGAAGTCCTTATTTCTGTGGGTAACAGAAGGAACACGTGTCGTTAAAAACCACTTTGATGTCTCTCTATACTTCAGTTTTGCCCTTGCCGTGACCAACAGGTCTGTGAACCTCACCGAAGGTTTCCCCTATATCAGGTAGTTATGGCGCTGGCCGGGGCGGGGGGGTTCCGAGGGAGAAGAGGAGGGGGCCTGGCTCTGAGGAGCCGCAGGATGATCCTTCATCTTCCCCAGCCTCTGTGGATCTTACCCCCCTCAGAGCTGCATCTTCAGCCAGCTGCTGAACATGGGAGCTGCTATGGGTAAATATTCTCAGCCCTTTCTGCTCAGGGCGAGACCCCCCCGACCCCGACCCCAGCCAAGGGGGCCCAGCCCGGCCCCGGCCCCGGCCCCCGCCCCAGGAGTCCAAGCCCCCACCCCTCCCCTAGATGTGGGGGTTAGGCCCCCACCCCTAGACGCCCAGTCTCTCCGCACCCCCTCCCCAGGAATCCGGGCCCGGCTTGCCCGCCCACTTCCCTCTCCTCCCAGCCGCCTGGATCTGCATTATCCGTTACCACCAGCTCCGGGACTGGGGAGTCGGAAAATGGTTTAACCAGCTGATCCTGTGGACGGGGCTCCTGTGTGCCTTGGGCACCTCCGTGGTGGGCAATTTCCAGGTGAGACGGTATCCGCTCGTGGAGCCCAGCCAGGCTGTCCGACCAGCCCGAGTCCAGGACTACAGCTCCCAGCATCCCCTGGGGCCGCTGGCTTCTCGTTGTGGGGGCTCTTCCGCGCACGGCCTTCTGGGACTTGTATTTCTCTTAGGGTCCTCGGACAGGGGAGGGAGGTGAGCTCCTCCGCTGTTTGAATGGAGTCCCGCGAGGGAGGCTCTTGGTATAATTATTTCACTGAACCCTAGAAGATTGGGGGTAATTTACTGCCGTCCCTTGCCCCTTTCCTCTTTTGATAATGAAATTACTCAGAGCCACTCATTCTTGCCGCTTAGATGGAGCGTTCACTCTGTGCGGGGCGCTAGGCTTTACACTGTGTAGGTTTTCTTTTTTTTTTTAGACTGTGTAGGTTTTCATCCATCTCCACAAGAGCTCTAGCTCAACTCTTTTTGGTCAAATCCGACAGAGGGTTTTGTTTTTGTTTTTGTTTTGTTTTAATCAGCTGGTTCGTGGCGGTCAGAAATGAAACCAGATTCATAGACTCTAGAACTCACATTCTTCGCCTTGAGGTTCAGTAGATATTTGTAGGACAAAAGGACATTCGGTTGGAGAAAGCCTATTGATTATTTTATATTGTTATTTTTAATTTTACTGTGATGTCTCTGAGTCCAAACCTCTCCCGTGAAAGTACTATAGGATAAGAGGCTGCCTCCCACGTGGTAAGAAAAATTCCCCATTACTTATTCGTTTCGTTTATTCCTGTGCTCCTCAACTTTAACTTCTTTAAAAAAAAAGTTTTTAAAAGATTTTTATTTATGTATTTGAGAGAGAGAGAGAGCGCATGAGAGAGAGAGATTATGAGGAGGGGGCAGGGGTAGAAGGAGAAGCGGACTCCCTGCTGAGCAGGGAGCCCAATGCAGGGCTTGATCCCAGGACCCTGAGATCACGAGCTGAGCCAAAGGCAGACGGTTAAGCGACGGAGCCACCCAGGCACCCCACTTCTTTTAAAATTATTATATTGCTCCCCTAAGGAGCCTTTTAAAGTCATTTCTGGTCATCGCTTCCCCTCATTAAACTTTTAATATTTAAAAAATATTAAATAACATATATTATGTATCTGTAAACCACAAACCATTGTAATCTTTAAGAACTTTTCACTCTTGAGGTGTCTGGGTGGCTCAGTTGGTTAAGCGTCTGTTTTTGGCTCCGGTCATGATCCCGGGATCCTGGAATCGAGTCCCTCACCGGGCTCCCTGCTTCTCTCTCTCCCTCTTCCTGCCGCTCCCCCTACTTGTGCTCTGTCACTCTCTCTCTCTGTCAAATATATAAATAGAATCCTAAAAAAAAAAATAAATAAATGAGAACTTTTCGCCATCCAAAAACCAATTTTTGCCCCCTGGGTGGCAATATCAGCGCTCCCCCTCCCTGGTTGAAGAATGAAAGATTTATTGCACTAATATTTCCCGAACATCTACGATGTGCCAGGCCCTGTATTAGGGAGTGAGGCCGCAGCAGTGAGCACAGTCTCTTGGGTGGGTCAAAGACCCCTCCCCCCACCACAGCCCTTGCATCTCGCCCCCCCCCCCCACCGTGTATCTATCTTCCTCTCAACTCTTTTCCCTTTTCCTCCCAGCAAAAGAACCAGCTGCCCACGCACCTGATAGGGGCCTTCTTCGCCTTATTCGTGGGCAACCTCTACTTCTGGCTGCAGCTTTTTCTCTTCTGGCGGATGAGGAGCCTGCCCCAGCCTGGGGCCCCCTGGATCAGACTGCTCCGCCTGGGCCTCTGCAGCCTCTGCACCATCCTCATGGTGGCCAATATCCTTACCGGGGTTGGTGGCAGGCGTTGGGGGTTCTTCACTGGGGTGGGTCGGCTCCACGCAATGTGCAGTGCCCTGTCCTTTCTTGGCCTCTGTCTCCTCAGGATTAGAGCGTCATAGAAAGTGTCAACCCGGGGGCCAGGCAGCCGGGCTCGGATTCCACTTCCCCCACGTCCTAGCTGTGGGGGGAAACTCCACTGGCTGAGCTTCTCAGTGTCTCCGCTCCTTCAGCTGTCAGAGGTGGATAATACCAGGGCTGCCCCCGGAGTTGTAAGGAATGAAGGGAGTAATACATGTGAGGTGCTTAGATTGGTGCCCAGCGCAGTGAGCCACCGGCAGATACCGGGAGGATGGCTAGTCAGCGAGAGCAGCCTGTTTGGGGTACCTGCCCTGTGCCGGGCATCATGTTGGCGAAGACTGGAAGCTGAGGCCCAGAGGGGGAGTCTCTTGGCCAAGGCCCGTCATGAAGCCCGACGGCGGAGCTCGTGGTGGAGGCACGTGGCTTGTACAGACTCTCGAAGGCAGTGCCTATCTCTTCCCAGCTCCATGTTTGGTGCTGTCGTGTTATCCCGCAGGCCTCGGTGGGAGTGTTCACAACACAGAAATTGGCCAATGTTGCAAACCAGAGCTGGTTGTTAACCATTTACCAGCATGCCTACCACCGGCTGAAGACTCTACCCAGCCCAGTTCTGAGTCACCCGAGCCCAGATGCTTGCCGCCAGCCCGGCACTCCTCCAGGTGACTCAGATCACTGTGCTTCAGTTTCCGTATCTGTAAAATGGAGTTGTTTTGATCATAGTAATGGTCATTACTGATAAAGTGCCCTGCCAGAAGGCCGCTGGTGTTCAGAAGAGCCTACCAGGAAACCAACTGAGGTCCTGTGCTGGCTGCATGAGGGACATCTGCTTATTTGGGATTATCCCAGCAAATGGAACGGGCAGTCCTATTTCCCAGCGCAGCAAACTGAATCCCATTGAAGAGGTGGGAAGGGCGGCCCCTCAGCTAAGCCTTTAGCTACTCCAGCTGGACAAGCAACATCTCCCCTCTGCAGAGGCTCTGTTGGTGTTAAGATCCAGCTGGCCCCTTGTGTTTTGTTATTACTTTTTTAATTTTTTGAACATTTTATTTATTTATTTGAGAGAGAGCAGGAGGAAGAGCAGAGGGAGAGGGACAAGCGGACTGTGCTAGTGTGGAGCTTGATGCGGGGCTCCATCCCAGGACCCCGAAATCATGACCCGAGCCGAAACCAAGAGTCGGTTGCTTAACTGACAGCCACCCAGGCGCCCCGTGCTGGGCCCTTTTAAAATCCCAACTGGGCCGATAATCAGTTTGGCTGCAAGGTCCTTATTCTGTGGCGCTCAAATATCCCTAGGCCCTGGGGCCAGGAAATGGACCATAAAGATGGCCAGCAGAGTGTGATTGATAGGGGCTGGGGTTCTGCAAGGATGGGTCTGAGAACTGGCAGATTCTGAGCTGGTCTTGCAGAACTAGCTGCTTTTCACCTGCTTTGGGAGGTTGGGGACACACCACAGGTGCACGCTGAGGGCGGAAAAACCAGCTTGGAGATAAGGCCACTGGCAGGGCCTGAGATGTGGATTTCCAGTGCTAAGGTGAGGCTTTAAAGGCTCGAGTGTCTTCCTGGGGGCAATAGGGAGCCATGGGAAGCTTACGAGCAGGGGAAGAACAAGACCAGTTCTGGCGGTAACCACCTTGTGCGTGGGTGCTCTCACCTCTCCTTTGCTCTAGGATTCACGGGATCTGGGGTGATGTCGGCCTTATCCGCGATCTAAAAATCCTTCAATGAATGAAATAATGTCTAAACTGATCTAGGAGTGAGTGGGGGCTAGCTTGGCTGAGAAGCGGGAAGGTTGTTGCAGTGATCTTGGGGCTGTGAGTTCAAACCCCACATTGGGTGAGGAAGGAAGGAAGGAGGGAAGGAAGGAAGGAAGCAAGCAAGCAAGCAAGCAAGGAAGGAAGAAAAGAAGACAGGGCAGACCAGGAGAGAGACGCAAGACAGAAAGAGATGGGCAAGGCCAGGAGGATGAGCCTTAGGGTGAGGAGGGGGAGGGGGTGAGGGCGAGTCCCCAGGGTCCGCTAGGCACATGAGTGGGTGGCAGAGTTCTCACCAGGTGAGGACACCAGGAGGAGGAAGATATTTTAGGGGCTGAGCGGGAGGGGCCTGTGGGCCACGGGTGGGGGATGAAAGTTGCCAACATAGCCTGAGGCTGGCGCCCGGCTTGGGGGTGTCTTTAGGAAACCCTGCGTATTTTGAAGGAAGAAGCAGTTGGCGGGCAAGTGGAAGGTGGTGATGGTGGGGCCTTGACGGGGTCAGGGAAGGCCGAGGGTAAGATGAGAACCTTGTTCTGGGATGTTGGAAATGCAAAGTGAGCAGGAGAACCTGCAAGGGGAACATTCGGGAAACAGCCTTAGATGGGGAGGAGGGCATCCGCGTGACAGTGTCTGGGAGCCGCGGAGGCCTTTCCGGCCTGGGCGGGGCGAGTGCGTCGCGAGAGGCCACCTGGCCCCGGTGACCCAGCTGGGTTCCCGGATCCTTCCTGTTGGTGTGGCCCTTGACCCCAGGGTGCAGTGGTCATCCTCCATTCCTGGCCGCTGCGCTCGGCCTCCGCTGCGTGCGAGTGGGCCATCGCCACACTGCTGTTCGCGCTCTTCGGCCTGTTTGCTGTGGATTTTTCCTGCCTGGACGGCTGCACCCTGTGTCTCCAGCCGGGCCCCAGCCTCAGCCCCCCGCCGGCCTCCCCCATCTCCCTGCAGATCCCCCTGTGAACGGCAGTCCGGGCGGGGTGGTCTGGTCCCGGTGCTGCTGCTAGGGCCACCCAGGAAGTGAGAGGCCAAGGCCAGCCAGCCATCCCTGCTCAAGGCTATTTATTATTATTATTATTAATTTTTTTTTTTTTTTTTTTTTGCCGCCGGCGGAATCAGAGACACGGACGCAGGCAGGGTCACGCGAAACCAGAATTCCTTCCGGAGAGCAAATCCATACAGAAGGTTGTGAGAGGAAGGGGGAGAGCCGGGGAAGGGGGGCCCGGGAAGGAGGAGTTGGGGACACAGGGACAGATGGCCCTCTCCGTCCGGATCTGCTAAGCCACCCCGACCAGCCCCCGTCCCTCCCCCACCCCACCCCGCAGAGAGATTGATCAATAAATAAAATAATAAATTAATCAATAAATAAAATAGAAACAGCTCCCCCGCCCTCGGCCCCCCCAGAACCACCCCCCATTGGGCACGGCCCCCTGAGCCCCATCCCTGCAGGGCAAGGCCGGGTTTGTTGTACCTCTCCCCTCCCTACATACTCCTTGGGCCCTATTTACAGATTCACAGTTGGGGGGCAGGGAAGGGGGGTGGAGGGGGCTCCCCTCCTTCCCCGGCCCCCTGGGGTCAGGGCAGAGGGGTCCCGTTGGTGGCCAGGAGCTTCTTGTCCTTAGCGGGGCCTCGGCGGGGAGAGCTGGTCAGCTCTGGGTCTGGGCGGCCGGGTGGGGGCTGCAGGCTTCTGGGTGGGGTGCCAGCAGGCCGGGTCTGGACCCCGTTCTTCTCATCTGCGGAGAAGGAAGCAGTGTGGCCTCAGGAACCTCAAGGCTGCCGAACCCCAAGGAACACGTTCCAGCAAGATCGTGGTGAGGCCAAGGGCCCCCACTGCGGGGCCGGAAGCCTGGGGCGGGGGGGATGGCTGCCAGGAGGACGCCCATCTGCAACCAGACCTGGCAAGGTCATGGACAGCAAGCAGGTCATGCATCCTGGGCCCCTCTGGCCCCTGTGGCTTGGGAAACTGGGCCAACTTAGTCCCCATGAGACCCAGAGGCCCCACTCCAGGGGGCATTCTCACGGACTCTGGCTATGACGCTATCCACGAAGGGACGGCTTATCACAGCAGCAGGTCCCACTGGAGTCCCCAGATCACAGCCAGAGAGGTTCCCTTGCCTTCTGCTCTCCTGGTTGTTAGGGCAAACGCTCATCAGCAACAGGGGAGCCTACAGGGGGTTGTTTGGGGGATCTGAACAAACCTGGATGGTCGATTGCCCCTCTCCAGAACACCGTTCCAGAACTTTTGTTAGCAGCAAGTTCCATGACCCCAACACAGAGACTAGTCAACCTCTGAGGGATCCCTGGAGGTGCCCTCCCTAGCCAGGAGGCCTTCTCAGGTTGGGATGGCCCTGTTCCCTGGATGGAGCTTAGACCCCAGCCTCTCTGAGAACCTGTGATCCTCGCCCACAAACCAAAGCCCTGGGGCACTTGCTCAGCAGGCGGTCTCCCCTCCAGCCCACAGGATAAAAGAGGGACACATGGCCTTAGGCCCCTGCCTCCCACCTGCCAGGGCCTGCACGGAGGGCTGGTCGTGAGTGCTCAGCAGTTGTGCCTGGATGGTCTCCACAACTCGCTTGAACCGACGGCTGGGACCTGGAGGGGATACAGAGATGGACTGACTTAGGGACAGGGACAGGGAAGGCCCTCCCACCCTGTGCAACCCCGCAAAGGACTCTCCTCCTCTTGGTCTCAATTTGCTGCCCTGTGTTGGGGCCAGGAATAAACCCACCATTTGCAAATGGGGCTAAGAAAGATTGGAGTTAAAATAATGATGGGTGTGGCTTTCTATTTAAATAGGTTGTATTACTTGTTAGTTTCTAGCTGAGGCCACGAAGAGCCAGAAATATAAGAAAAATAAGCGGGAAGTGAAAAAAAAAAACCTTAAAATCAAGGAAGTCCTGCACATTAATCTTTAAGGGAAGGGAAAAAAATGCACCATAATTCATTTTAGTGATGTAACACTGGCAGGAAACTGGGAGCAAGCTCATCTCCCAACTGTGACATAGTAAGACTGCTAACAAGGGTGGCACACAGAAGCATCTCTTGTTATTCAGACTGTTCTCGTCAGGGCTCGGAAAGCAAGCCGCATCGGAAGCAAGACATTTCTGTGGTTTTCATCTCTGGTGCCAACTCTTGGTTGGTCATGGCGGCCTGCAGTTTCCGAGGCTGCAGCTGAGCTCCGCAGGAAGAAGTGCTGTGATGGACTGGTGATGTCTGCTCTGGGTGCAGGCATGACACCGGGCCGCTGCGAGCCACGTCTTTGCCCTTCAGTGTCAGCAGGGCTGGGTTGAGCCTGGCTCTGTCGCGGTTTGCGGTGTGACTCTGTCACGTCAATTTACCTCAACAGGACTCTGTTTTCTCCTCTGTCAAGTGGGTGAGCACTAATACCTCAAAAGCTGCTGGGAAGCTTCAATGTAATAGTGCGTGTAAAGCACTTGGAACATCCTAAACGTCCATGAAGGGGCGCCTGGGTGGCTTAGTCCGTTAAGCGTCTGCCTTCAGCTCAGGTCATGATCTCGGTTCTGGGATCGAGCCCCACATGAGGCTCCCTGCTCAGCAGGGAGTCTGCTTCTCCCTCTGCCCCTCCCCCTGACTTGTGCCCTGTCTCTCTCTCAAATAAATAAAATCTTAAAAAAAAAAAATGTCCATGACATGTCCCTGAGAAAGGGGGGAAGGACAGAATGTGAGGGTCTGAATGAGGGGGCCGCTATCCCAGCTCAGCTGTCTTGTGCATCCCACATGCCAGGGTGGAGGCAGTCTCTAGCCAAGGGATGCTTACCGGAGATGAGCGTAAAGGTGACGGAGTAGATGCCACCACCGCCACTGCTGTCCCGTCGTGGGGAAGGCTCTGGACCCTCTGAGGAGCTGATGTCCACCTGGAATCGGACGGGCTTCTGGAAGACGGAGGGGCCGCCACTGGCCTTGTACTCGGCCCTGAAGCTGGTCTGTGACAGCACACTGTGACTCAGGCTGGGGATCTGAGACAGGCAGGGGACGAAAGGAGGGGGTGATTCCAGGGAATGGAGAGCCACGACTACACGTTCCATCAGCCACCAGAGGGGAAAGAAGAACAGAAAAGCCGGGGGGAGCCCGCACTGCCTGCTGGGGCTTGTAGTTTTCTTGTCCAACTCTAAACAGGGTATCAGAGGAGTGGCTGATAACAGGGACTTTCACATCTAGGTGTCAGCCCCAGGCTCCAGAATCACATGATACAAACTTCTCTGCCTCCACAGGCATTACCATTTGTGTCTCAAAACCTGCAAGTCCCACTAGCTCCTAGAGCAAGAACCAGAGGGCCCAGTGGAAAAAGTGGTTCCGTCTGCTGATCTCAGACCTGGTGATGGGGGAATGGCAGCTCACCAATACTCTGGGGAGTTGTTCTTTGCACCGCCTCCAAGCCCCAGGGTACAGTAAACCTCTGCACCTCCCGCCCCTACAGTGACCCAACCCAACTCTGAACGGAAAACTACAGAACCCATGAGCCTCAGGAGGCAGTCAGGCCAGCGCGAAGGCAGCGGACCCCAGGGGCTGCTGGGACTTGTAGTCCGGTGCTGGCCAGGACACAGTAAGGCCCGGGCCCCTCACCGACAGGAAGGCGTGGACTATGTCCGCTTTGATGCTGCTGAGAGGTTTGTCCTTTAGCACAAGGAATATTTGTTCTTCTTTGTCCAAGGAGATGAAGTTCCCAAACCAGGAGCGTTTTGCCAACCTGAGTGAAAGGGAATGGTTGGAAGGTGGGTCAGGACGGCGATCAGGGAATAAACCCTCCCCCATCCTCTCACTTCCCTTCCCTGTCAGACTCACTCTGGAGAGGACTCTGGCGTCAAACTGGACATCTCCTCGGCAGTGGGGACTGGCGGGCGGGGAGGGAGGGGAGAGTATGGTCAACACTTGCCCATCATCCTGGGGTCCAGCACGTGGGCCAGGAGTCCCCTCCAGCCAGAGGTTCCAGATCCTGGTGCCCATTCACCTCCCGGTAACTAAACCCCAAATGGCACGCTGCTCTGTGGTCCTTCTGGGGATGCTAGCCAACCCGTTAGGCCACGCCCTCTGAGGGTGGGACTTGCTAGCCATGAGCCAATGGGAAAGTGAGCCAGGGCACTGGAGGGAGGTGTCCTTGACAGAGGCTCCCCCTCCAGAGCTGGAAGCCACACCCCCTCTCCCCAACACCTGAATTTCTACTCCCAGCCCCATCTTCTCTCAGGAGGTGGGAAGCCGGGCCCCCAGCCCCTGCCCCCTCAGGGGCCCTGTACCCTGCATCTTGCGCCGGTGAAAGCGAGGGGAGCCCAGGAAGCTGTTGCGGATGGAGTTGAGACGACTCCTCCAGGCGGCTCCCCCGACGCCACCGCCGGGGCTTGGGGGTGGCGTCGTTCCCGGCGTCCCAGTGGGGCTGGCCCGGGGCGTGTGCAGGGGCGAATGCAAGGGGGTACCCCCAGAGGAGCGCGGGGAGCCTGGGGGACCAGGCAGGGGCGTGGAGCGGGCACTGGGGGGCGGGGGCTGCTCCCCGGCGCCCCCACCCCTGGGGCCTCGAGAAGGCAGCGTCTGCGTTTTGGAAGTCGGGGAGCCCCCGCCCCGAGCCTCATCTCCGGCCCCGGGCTCAGGAGAGAAGGAAAAGACAGGACTCTGTGGAAGAGCGGAGAAGGGTGAGATGGCGGACTACAACTCCCAGGAGCCTCTAGGAACCCCGTTCGCACATACTCACGGAGGTGGGTCCCGATGCATGCTGGAACTTGTAGTCCAGTGATTTCCCCCTCCCAACCCACATTGTTAGGGGGACAGAGACTTTTTCTATCATGTTCACTGCTGTAGCACAGTGACTGGTACACAGTAGGCGCTCAATTAGCTTTTGTTCCGCGCATAAACGAACCCTTGACACACACTAAAACCCCAATCCTATCGGAGGTGGAAGTGCCCAATGCACTAAAATACTTATGCGGCCTTAGGGTTGGGGGCCCTTTAGGGACAGAGAGGCTATGCCTCAAGACTTCATGGGAGTTGTAGTTCCTGCTGCTCGATCTCGGCTCCAGCGTCTTCACCCCCTTACCCCTTCC